CACACAGACAGGCCCCAGACGGCTGCAGGTTCAAACCCAGAACTTTCACGCTGCGAGGAAACAACGTTCAAACCCTCAACATCAAAACGTGAAAATAAATTCTGAGGTATATTATTATAGATGAGAGTTTTTGAAAATGGGAAGCGAGCCTCCACAGGCAGGCTTCAAACTGTTTCATTAGAGGCTCGGTTAAATGAGGTCAGGAAATATGACAGCAGCTTATTAAAAAGATAACTTCAGTCTTCAGAGGTTTGCTTGAATTGAAGATTTCCCCCATAGTCCAAAAATAAATAAATATGGTGCCAATGTGTCAGTCATGGTTTACTGGTTGACAAACAAATAAAAACACCCAGAATGCAACACAAAAGAGAAAAACCTAAAACTTTATCCGAGGGTCTGAGGGGAGACATCAAGCTTTTAAACTCGTTATACATTAACCTGCAGAATAAGATCAAATGAGCTCAAGCACCAACAATAAACAGACTTAATCACAGGAAGTCTACAGAGGAGCGCAATGTGACTGCATTTTTCGGACTATAAGGTGCACCGGATTATAATGCGCATTAAGCGAAACGAAAACATTTTTGACAGATTTTTGAGCAACGTGTACCACATACAATTGGTTCGAGGTCAGTAAGCACAACCAGAATTAATACATAAGGTGCACCACATTATAAGCTCACTGTTGATTTTTGATAAAAATCAAAGGAATTAAGTACGGCTTATAGTTTGAAACATCCTGTAGCTGGAACATGGGACTAACTATAAGCTGACTGCTGTGTGCTTATGGTAACTTTGAGACATTAAACAATGTTTTGCAAATTTTAGACGGTTCTGCACAAATTTGATGACGTGAGAAAGACTCGTTTCAGTAGAGCAAAAAAATATATATATTTTTTTTTTTCTGCTGTCCTGGTTTTCATAGTAATGTGTTTTATGTTGAAGCTACTGAATCCATTTTTATATTTTTAATAACACCTGTCCTGTTGTCTAAAAAAAAATAGCACGGCTTGAAAACATCCATTTTGTTGCAGATGTTTGCTAAACTGAAGAAAATAAATTCACAGAGGGGTAAGCTGTTGTTGTCAGTCACAGTGATGCATCCTGCTTTTTCACCGTTCAGAAAACAGAAGTGATTGTGTGCAGCTCTACCACTGTCCCTGTTCCTGTTCACCTGGACTCCCTTGAGTCGTGTCTTAAGCAGTCTGTTACAAACCTCAGAATGATTTTAGACTCTGACTTTGTTTAATAAACAGTTTAACTCCGTTCTACAAAAAAGCTTCTTCCAGTAAAGGCAGATAGCTAAGCTTAAGTCTGTGTTCACCAGATGTGACCTTGAAAAAATAGTCCAAGCATTTGTTACAACCCGGCTGGACTACTGTAACACACTATGTTGGTGTCAGTCAGGTGTCCCTTTCACGTCTCCATCTTGTCCAAAATGCTGCAGCTCAGCTCTTAACAGGAGGTTTGAGCATATTTCACCAGTTTTGTCCTCCCTTCACTGGCTCCCTGTATGTGTCAGAATTGGTTTTTAAAATTCTCCTGTTGACCTTTAAGTGCATTGACAGCCTTGCACCCTCATATCTCTTTGACCTACTGCAACCTTATGATCCTTCTCAGGCGCTGAGATCATCTAACCAGCTGCTTTGGTTGTTCCAAAAACCAGGCTGAAGCTCAGTGGAGATCTGTTTTTTCAGTCATGGGCCCTAAACTCTGCAACAATGTGCCTCTCAACATTAGACAGACCACTTCACTCCCTGCTTTTAAATGTCTCCAAAAAACACACCTGTATTCACTGATGTTTAACACATATAGGGTCTGATTTATTATTTCATTGTTTCTCATCGGTTTTGTGTTATGTTTTTATTTTTATTATTTAATTACAATCGTATTGTTATTTTTCTTTAATTACTGCCTTGATCTTATTGTTAAGCACTTTGGTAACAGCTGCTGTTTTAAATGTGCTTTATAAATAAATTTGACTTGACTTTATCTATAGTGAAGGCATATTAACACTCCTGCTGCCCTTGGGTTAAAATGACCTTGGAGGCCTAAGGCCAAGGCCTCCAAGGTCATTTTGATCCAAGGGCAGCAAACTTTCAGAAAATAATCACTGGTTGTTTGTAACTGATTGACATTTGGAGTCATTTAAATTCAAGACGGCCTTTGGAGCGAATCAAACTTAGCCGACACAAAAATTGTTGTAAATTTTAGAGATATCGAGCAAAAACCTGGAGTGGTAGCAGCTGAGAGTTATTCTCAGCACTTACTCTGAGGGCTATCACATCTTATAACATTTCACAACAACACAAGACATCATTTACAACTCTTCACCAAAACAGCTACAACACCATCAACCTCAGTCTAAAACTCAGGCATAAAAGGAGGCGGGTGATTCAAGAAAGGCTGAGTCTTTACCGTATTTCTCGCAGTATAAGTCATGTTTTTTTGCATAATTTGCATGCTCTGCGACTTATAGGCCGAAACAACATAATTATGGATTTTTTTTCCCATATTTATAAACCTTTTTTTTGGCTGAGATATGACTCTTTTCATTCATTCTGACTGAAAATATTGAACAGTACCATTTTCAGCCACTAGATGGCAGCAGAGTAGTAGTAGCAATATGGCATTCCGTTTTATCATGTAATAGGTAAAAGTGATTATTGATAAATTTAAAAAAGTTCCAGACAAAAACAACTGGAATTTATTTATTATACTTTATACTTTATTATTTTTGTCTTGAAGTTTTTTGAATTTACCGTGTCCTAGATGATTGACAATCTTCACCAGCTATTAATGATACAATCAGCTTGCCATAGCCTGCTATCTTTGTTCTGCTCGCTGCTTGGAGCAACTGTCAAACCTGCTGCATTTCGCTGCACCACCGCAGCAAAATGCAGCTAATTTGACCATTAAAGTACATTTATTAAGTAAAAGTTCAAGAGACACACCTTTGCTATAATTTCGAGCAAACAAAAAATTGTTCTTTAGAGGTTAATCTTGTTAAATTTCAAAGAAATGCACAGCGTTCCGCCTCCTTTTTTCCTCCCTCTGTGCGCTTCCGGGAGCACTGAGGCAGCAAATACTTTTGAAATACAGCTGATTTGACAGTCAAAGTGCATTTATTAGGCAAAATTGAAGACTGCGTCACACCTTTACTATAACGTCGAGCAAACAAATAATTGTTTTTAAGTGTTAATCTTGTTAAATTCTTGTTAAAGTCCTCCCGTGCATGCTCCCGCGGTCGCCATTGATTTTTGGCACAACACCGGCCCACACTTACAGCAGTGACGCATAACAGACAGTATACTGTGAAGCGACGTATTGATGGATTTTTCCACTTTATTACACATATTTGGACTGTTGCGACTTATAGGGCGGTGCGACGTGTACGGCAGAAAATACAGTAATTTCACAAACATTGCCTTCTATTATCTTGTGAAAATCAAAAATATGTTGGGCTGTAGTCCTGCGTGTATATATTTGAGATGCAAACCTGCACACAAAACTTATAAGGGGGATTTTAATATGATAAAAGTACTTTTTGCACAAGCAAAGCCATCTTTGATAAATAAGCTCCCTTGTTTTATTGACTTGACAAGTCGTATGGAAAAAACAAACAAACAGCGCTATAGCCATAAAAAGAGCAAAATGTGACCAGAAACATCCGTTCAGACCGTGTTTATACCTGCAGTCATGCATCCAATATGTTTAAAAGTTTCTGCTCACGGGATGATCGTTCGTTTCAAGGTACAGTAAATACCAAAGGTGTTACAAAGTCAATGTCAAAACTACTGATGTAATCCATAATACGGTTCCTCCTGCAACAATGCATTTAATGAGGCAATTTCTGAAACGATTAGTTTTTTTGTTTTGTTTGCCCTCCCTCTGGTCACATGGAGCACAGAGGTCAGGTTGTAAGGGCTTTATCTGACATGTGTGCACCCTATTTCAAGAATATATTTGATGGTTCATTATCTTTGGTCATGTAAACATGCATCCTATTTTAAGGAAGAGATTTTATGGTTTATTTTTATTCGACTGTTCACTGTTAAAAGTTGCTTTAAGAAACTTTGCGTTTTGTTGCCAGTTTCTTATAAATTAGATTTTTTTTTTATCTCAGTGAGGTTCTCTTGGTAAAATAACGTAAATAACAAAAATTAAAATCCCACTAAAACTGATACAACTTTATCTTTCGACCAGTTTTACCAAAGCTGGTATCGTTTTCTTTGTCATTTTTAGCTGCGTCCAATAAAATGAGTTTTAATACAATTTGGGAACTTTGATTTCTTGGTAACATAACTAGAAAAAGACAACAGATTTTAAACAAGTTCACTTGTGTTCTCTAACTCCCTATTTATATCTAAATAACTATTAATAAATATGAGTATTATTTTAATCATGTGCCCTTAAAACACGTGTTGGGCAGTATGTGATCATACTTAGGCAGCTGAAGTAATTGCATATTTGTTTTTAAAGAAAAGCAAATAAATCGTGATATTTTAGCTCAAGGTTATACCGTCAGTAGATACCGGCCCATCTGCCTTCAACTTTCAGGCGTAGCCGCGCACGCACACGCATCAAATAATGGACCAGCGTCCAGGTAAGGTAGACGGGAGGCTCTGACTTCACATTTTCCGAGCCGAGCGTGCAGGCAGGTCCAGTGACAGGCGGGTTAAAGACGAGCCTCTGGCACATCATCGAGGTTAGAGGCGGAGAGACCAGGATGTGAACACAGTGGCTCAGTGGTTCCGGTTCTGTGTCCGAGCACCGTGGGGCCAGGATGTCAGACATTAGAGTCTGTGCGCGGTGAAACGCGGCAGCCGGGCTTAGCTGCCCATCTGAAGTAGGCTCTGAATCAACCAGCTGGAGGGGGAGAGCACAGACACGCACACACACGCACGAACACGCACACACACCAAGGCGAAACGATAAAGGGCAGTGGCCCCCCCTCCCCTCCTGGTCCCGTTTTGTGTCCGGGTTTTCCTGGTACTCACTGGTGTGGTGGTAGCGGCAGCTCCGTGCGTCGCTTCTGCTGCACGAAGCGAAAAATGGGTTCAGACCTCCTCTCTCCCCCTCCCTGTGCCTCCCCCCTCTCCTCTCCTCTCTCCTCTCCCTCTCGGAACAACTTCAAACATCCACGGCCAAATAACGACCAGATCAAACCGAGGTGGGGAACTTCAGCTGGGCTTCCTTCCTCCCGGCGAGCGGGGGCAGAAGCGTCGGCCGAAGAGAGGAGGAGGCAGCCGGACTGGCGCGGCGGCGGAGCTCGGTGAACTGGGAGAGCTGGGGAGGGAGTGGAGCGGAGAGGACGGTCGGTGGCGCTGCCTGCGAGATGTTCTCTGCCCGTGCGCGTGCGTGTGTTCTTCCTGGTTGGGCTAAACTTAATGTGAAATAGTGGCAGCCAGTGCAGGAGGAAGGAGGGTCTGGGCTGCAGTTCAGGATCGACACTTTTTAAAAGCAAACTAATTATAAATAATACTCAACATTCATTTCAAGGATTGAGCTGCTCGTTACAGAACAACCCACTGCAGGGTCAAATTTAGATCATGTTCCCAGAAACACCTTAATTATTAGAGCGTTTAGGGCTATTTGAAGCACAAATATATAGTAGTTATAGCATTTCTATTCAGTTCACTTATATAGTGCCAGGTCACAACACAAGTCATCCCAGGACACTTTTGTTCAAGCACCTACATATCGTCTGATTTGACTAGCCAGACCGTGCACTTCCCGTGCGCACGTTCACCAACCACAACACCTTAACACACACCTGAGAAATGGCAGTCTCATTGAGAAAGTGCACATGACACCAGTGACCTAGCATGTACATTAGTTTGGTTAAAAATATAATGATTTTAAAGCTGGAGTGTGATATCAAACCCTGGTGCCAGGCAGCCACTACTGATTTTATAGGTTGGCTACCAAGTTTAGTACAACTTGTAAAATTAAATGCAAACTCTATAGGGACGCTCCAATCAGGTTGTTTGTTTTTTGCTGCTAATCACGATACTGACGATCACGCATGGTGCCGATCACCAATACCAATCACATGGATTGGCTGTAATTTTTATTTATTTATTGTAAATTTAGTTAAGATTAGTACTACTTGCTACATTATCTGGAAAATAGGATAAAATCACCTTAATTTGGACCAAAAACATCTTTTGATTTATCTAAAAAATATTAAGTTAAATCTGGTCCTCTGGACATTCAAAAAAACAAAACAAAGCAAAACAACAAAAAAATGTAGAAACGTTTCGTCTCTCATCTGAAAGACTTCCTCAGTCTGAGGAGCTGTATTCCGCTCAGTCTTTTAATAATAATAATAATAACTTTTAGGCACAATACAGCAACTATCCAGTCAAAAAGACAAATGAAAAACATTTAAATGTGCCTGCTATCATCAGTAACACAATCTTTAATAGACTAAAAACACTAAGGCTCTCAACAGGCTAAATGGCGCAGAAAGTCAAATAAATCTCAAAGTACTGCTTAAATAAATAAATAAATAATATATATATATACACGACCTCTGCAGGCTGCAAAGGTGATCAGTTTTTGTGATCGGCACTGAAAGGCATTGATCAGTACCGGCTGATCACACACTTTTTAATGGAAATAGACGATCATGATTGGTGGCTGATCCATCAGAACATCTCTCTCTATTCAGCTTTCAACCCACAAAACAACACAACAGAAACTTCTATTACAATGATTTTTTTTGTAAAGTTCATTTCAAAACTAAATGTATTTTTTGAAAGATCCTGAAAATATTTCCAGTGAAGTGGTACCAAACGTCCTTTTACAAAGCAAAATTCTGGCATTATACATCCTTGAATTTACCCTGAACAATGTAAAAAATAATAATAATTATGTTCCTTTCTAATTATTGCCATGAAACTTTGAGCAAACATTGCTTAACAATTGTGCTACTTTAGTCATTGTTTGAGGTAAATATTCATTAAGTTATTTTTATAACTTACTTGAACATGATCAATTCTACGAGGCTTAGTAAAGTATTAGATCAGCTAATATTTAGTATATGTCTACTTAAAAACAGGAAGTATCAGTTTATTAGGTTGTTTGTGCCTTCAGGACATTCAATCAAGCCAACAACATAAAATCAACAATTGAGTTGTCAACATAACCCAGCAGTTTTTAGTGGGTAGATTTAATATAAAAAGTCTGAAGCACAAAAAAATGTGTCTGAAAACAGAACCTCTCAGTTGTCACAGTTTATCTTCTTTGATTAGCCAGTTCTGCACAAATCTTAAGCGTTTCTTTAAACTGTTTATGAAAAATAAGGTTTTCTGGTAAATTCACAACCAGACAGAATAATTACATAAAACAGCGAGACGGCATCAGCCTTCTCTGAAGCAAAGAGACTATTTACAAACCATTATGGCTCAGAATTATAGAAGAAAACGTATTTATTAAAACTACAGGAATTTAAAATGGTAAAAAAATGTGACCAGAATCTTACATTTGAGTCTTTGAGGGCAGCCTAAATTATTCCACGTCTCGAAGAGCAGTGAGTCATGTTTTATCATCAATATGTTAAACTTGATCATATTTTCACCATGATTAACTCCCTGATTTATACGTTCTACTTTGATTATTCCCATTCTCAAACCCATCGAATGAACTCACACAGAAGATGTGGCATACACCATGCTCTTCCTAAGGCTACTTGGGTTTGAACCTGCAGCCTCAGGATTATGAGACCGTGTCACAGACCACAGAGCCACACATATTTATTGTCCTGTAGCTAACTGAATTAGCACAAATTAAATCAGTGCAAAGTGGAGGACGGATGCTTTAAAATGTATATTTTTCTTCTTTTATCAGAAACAAAAAAATAAAACATACGTTTTATCTTTCATTCTGGAATGAGAGCAACATGCTGAAATAGAGAAAACAAAATAAATATCAATCCCATCGTGTTTCTATCAATCAATTTAAATTGATCTGCATAAAATAACTTTAAAGCAGCTAGAGAAAGTGTATGCGACAATGCAGTGTGAATGTTTATTTAGTACATAAGACCTGGCTGGAAAACAGCTGAAATTAGCTAAAAAACATGCTAAAATGTAGCTGAAATGGAAGAACTTAGGCTTCTAAGTTAGCAGAAGAAAGCAGAAAGAACACATATTTAATGAATTTGGTTTAAATAAGCAGAGATGAGCACAAAAATTGGTAAATTAGCTAAAAATAGCTGAAGTTGGCAAGAAATAGCTGAAAAGTTGCAGAAAACGCAGAAAGAAGCTTAAATTACCAGAAGGAATTGAAGAGAGCGCAACTGTGCCGAATTAGGCTGAAAGACGCAGAAATTAGAACAAAAAAGTGGAAATTATCTGAAAAAAAGTAGAAATTTGCACAAAAAAAAAAAAGCTGAACGGTAGCTAAAAAGAATGCTTACATTACAAATGGAGAGAGCACATTTTTACTGAATAATGCTGAAAAAAGTTGAAACGAGTGCAAAAAATGTGGAATTAGCCGAAAAAGCTAAAATTAGCATAAAACAGCTAAACAGTAGCAGAAATAGCTGAAACTTACAGAATTGAGCGGAAAGGAGCATAACAAGCTGAAAGAAAGAAGTTAGAAGTACAAAAAGTAGTAGTTAGCAGAAAGAATCTGAAAGGAGCACAAAACAGCTGAAAAATAGGTGAAATTAGCTGAAAGTAGCTGAATTAAAAATAATAAATTGCACAAGCTGAAAGAAGCTGAACCAGAACAAAATATGAAAGGAGCAGTAAAAGGTTGTAAACAGATCTAAAGATTTGAAGGATGTAAAATGAACTCCATTCATTTTCTATGGGGGAAAAAAGTAGCTTGAAAGGCTAAATATTTCAAAAAGCTAAAGTTGCACCAATACCAAAAGTCATAGCAGGATAATGAGCTGAACGTTTTGATTTCTGATTTGTTGAAATAGTAGAAAAATTGTGGAACGAGAAAAATGCTGAAAAACGTACAGAAGAAAAATTTATCACAATTGTGTGAATGCTTCGTAAACATTCACACAATTAGACCAGCTTTCGGCACCCTCCAGTAATGGACCAACAGCTGTTCGTTGACAAAAAGAAAGGTGAGGGGTTAAAATATGTAAAAGTGAAGGGAAGTCAGTTCTTCTGCATGAGCGATAGATGTTCTACCCCTCATCCTGTCATTCGTCGTTGTCAAACCACAACGATTCAACCAGACTGTTAAAACACGTCTAAAAAAACTAAATCCCAGAAGAATCCATCCAACAGCGTCCCATGTGACGCATGTGGGATGTAAGCTTTAAATACTTCCTGTTTAACCAACTTGGATGCACTAAATAACAATAAACAATCAGAATTTGGATACAAACATCATCTTCAGGCTTTACAACCATTTTACAGCGTGAGACATTTTTATTACTAAACTAAAAAAAACGCAGGGTGCCAACGCTACAGCTTAAAACCCCAACATCAACGTTGTAATAATAATAAAGTCCTGGTAATCATTGAAGAAATGCATATCGCCTGCCGTCTTTAATGTCTTGAGTTTTAGATAACATGTTTTGATGAGAAATGATGCGTCAACCTCTGGTTTCCTTATACAGTTTGTACCACATGCTTTTTATGTTTTACTTGTTAAAAAAAGGCTTTTTTTTTTTCTTAAATGAATTGATATAACTAATAAAAATAAATTATATTTTGGCAGCTTACTCAGATGTTTTAACTGCTGAACAGTGTGACGTTCATTGATCTGACAGTGCATCAATGCAAAATGTTCAGTTAATATTTAGCTCAAAATTAAAACATCTGAGACCTTTCATCAAAGTTCATGCTCAACAGCCTAGGTAAAAATGCAACAAAGTTAAGTCACGTCCTCTGGACAGTTTCTTTTTTTGTTGAAATGTTTCATCATTCATCCAAAGGACATCATCAATCTGAGGAGCCACAAACAAACTCAGTCCCACAAGCTGTAGAAATTGTGGTTTTGTCCTTGGTGTTGTGTTCATGTCTGTGTTCCCCTGATCCTCTGTTTACAGCTGTATAGGGTTTGTGGTTCTTTGGTGTCTAGCCCCA